TCAGAAAAGAGTTATTCTAGTTAATGGATATAAAGTGTGGTAGTGTGACAGTGCATGTCTAGGAAAAGTTATGCCAAGGAAAGACTTGGTATTTAAGTGTGTTTACTAGTAACCCACCTCTCTTTCCTAGGAGTTTACCTGGTGTGCTAGTTACAATTTATGTTGTTGTTCCAATAGGCAATTTTATTCATAGTGAAAAGTGCATAAGTCGGTTAAAACCAAATATGAGATAGAGAAGTTTAATTGAAATATTTTCTCACTATGAAAATTGAAGATGGAGACAATTTTGAGAAAAGACAATTATGTAAGAGCAATTGGAAAAAGATCGTAGGCATCATAGATTGAAGGTGGAAAGAAATTTACAACAGCTATAACAAATTTGGGAGTCCCTTGTCAAATTGTATCAGGAGGAAACACATATTGGACTTGTTTATTTTGATGTGTTGGAATTGTCAGTATTATCCCTAGGAGGGGCCAAATATTTTGTGTCAGTGATGACAATGATTACTCCAGGAGATTATGGGTGTATCGCATCAAGAGAAAGTTTGTGTTTTCAAAGTTCGGGAAAGACAAATTCTTGGACTATGCTAACAATGTGAAAGGGTATTTCCTGTGGATCCCACTATCCACAAGGTTATTGTTAACGGTGATATAAATATTATTTCTCTTCAAGGTGAACCTAGAGAAATGATTGGTATGCTTCAACCAGAAGACTTAAAAAAAAAAGGAAACTTGGTTTGTAGGTTGACCAAATCTCTGTACGGTTTTAACCGGGTGTCCAAGTGTTAGTATAAGAGATTTGATTCTTCATGATTAGCCTTGATTACAACAGACTAAGTTTGGACTATTGTACCTAATACAATAGATTTGATGAGAATGCTTTTATCATTTTGTTGTTGTATGTGGATGACATGTTGGTGGTAGGCTCCAACAAAGTTCGAATCTAGGTTTTGAAGGCACAATTTGTTAGACAAATGGCATCTAGAGGGGGGTGAATAGATGCACAAATTAAAATAGATGTCAAATTAAAAATTTATTTGTGAGTCAATAATTTGTTAAAGCGGAATCAATAATATAATCAGGAAAGGAGAAAAAGATAAGGGAAAGAGAAGAGCACACAGAGATTTATACTGGTTCGAGTATAGCCAACCCTACATCCAGTTCCCAGTCAACTCTTAACACAAGAGTGACTCCCCATTCATTATCTTTCAAATTCAGTTTACAAATTGTAATCAACTCAGCAGAAGAACCAGTAAAAAGTAAACTAATTAAAAAGACAATTGCCTCCTTAGAAACCCACTAAGGATGAACACCTCCCAAGAATCCCACTAGGGATGAACACCTCCTTTGAACAAATCAAAGGATGAAAAACACCTCCTTAGAATCCCACTAAGGATGAACACCTCCCTAGAATCACACTAGGGATGAAAATCACCTCCTTTTCCACCAATGCAAAAAGGATGAAGGTAATAAAAATAAGAACAGACACACCTGGGTAATGGAGACAACAAATTGTAGAAGCCTGTAGAATGTCAATCTCCAAGAATAAGTGTGATTAACAATGAAAGCACAGAAGGCAGTAGAGAAAAGGGTTTTCTCAAAAGGTGTAAAATATCTCTGTTGCCTTGCTCAAAATTCTTTTCTCAAAATTGATTGAATGTAAATTGTATTTTCGAATTCTGTAATTGTGTGTTTTTTATTTTTCATCAAAACTTAATTAAATAGAAAAATAGCATCAGAAAATGGTCGTTGGACATTAATAATATCATAGAGAAAATCAGGATGTATTTAAAAACATTTATTCTTTAAAACGGATATATTTTTCAAATTTGAATTGCCATAATTTATTATATTACCAGTATAATTAATTATGATAGAGAAAATTATTTTTCCATTTCTGGTGCATCATAATTAATTATGACAGTGAAAAATATCATGTTATGAATTTTATCACACTTGTGCTTTGGAGGCTTATGCATAATATTATTTCATCAACTTGTACCTCCATATCCAGTATTCTAAGACTCTATCTAGTCTTCAGGAATCATCTTGGGCTTGCTTGAGTCATTATCTTTATCATCTACGTCATAAATTCAGCTTGTCCTTAAATTCATCTTGAATGATGTTGACTTGAATGTAGTTGACTTGAATCATCATCAAAATCATCTCTTGGGAATGCAGGAACATTTCCATCAATCTCCCCCTCATTGCTTTCACAATTGACTTGGGAGTCTGATATGAAGAAATAGGGACCAACAAACAAGATTTTAGGGATACAAATTCACTGAGGCAACAAAGATAGGAAGGTATGACTTTATCAGAAGAATTACTTACTGAATAATGTATTGCAATGCTTCAACATGCAAGGGTGTAAGCCACCAGTTTCTACCCTAGTTTCTATCAAGTTATCATCAAGTATCAGTCCTAACAATGAACTAGGGAGGATGAAAATGTCTCGAGTATTGTATGCATTAACAATGGGAAGTCTTATGAATACCATGATTAGTGCAAGACTAGACATTGCAAAAGTAGTGGGAGCAGTTAATAGATCAATGGAAAATTATGGTGGAGAGAATAGTTTTATCAATATAATTCTTATCAAAGGAACCTTGGATGTTGTATTATGTTTTGGAGGATCAAAATAGTTGTCAAATGCTATGTTTGTTCAAGTTTTGCAAGTGATCTTGACGAGTTTACCTTTGTTGGAGAGATAATAACTGGTTATCCAAGTTATAGGATGTTGTAGCTCTGTTTATTACATAAGTTGAGTACATGACAACCACTCAGGTATGTAAGGAAGCTATTTGGATTAAGAGGATAATGGAGGAACTCATACACAAGCAACAACAAATTGTTGTGTATTGTGACAGTCAGAATGTCTTGCACATTGCAAGGAATCATGCCTCGTATTTCAAGATAAAACAAGAAGAACTTAGCAGATGTTATGACAGTCAGTTAACAATGACAAGTTCACATAGAGGTGATCCTACTGAAGGTCTATTATAATAACAACATGAAAGACAATAATAATGTATTATGAAGATTTGATTAATTTAATCAAAATCTTCAAGTGAGAGATTGTGAGAATGTGAGAAGAGAAGTTCCACATCAGGGAAATTATATGTTGGTACTTACCTTTCTTGTTATAAAAGGAGTATAATGTTTACTTTCTAAATCGCCCAAAATCTCTTCTTTCTTCTTTCTACTAGTGCATTGCATAATAGTTGAGTTCTCTTATTTCTAAAAGAAAATATTATTATTATTTTATCTTTAGATTTAAAGAGGGTATTGTAATTTCTTCTGGTAGTAAAATTCTATTATTTCCTATTGTCTGTTTTATTTATTTTTTCTCATCTTTTATTTTAGTTGTGAGTTGTTATATAGTTACCTCGATTCTTAACAAGAGATTGTGTAGTGAGAACCTTTTAGATGTACATCTTGTTTGGTTATCATGAAGACCTCACATTTTTTAAGTGTATTGTCACGTCTAATAATTTACCTATAAGAAACTATAGAACCACCTATGAAAAGGAGTACCTAGATTACTCTTTGAGCTTCAACTGTTAAGAATACTCTTTTAGGACAAAGTGAGAACAATACATTACCCTTGATTTCAAATTATGTAACTAATGCAACTAAAACAAATGAACTTATAAAATTAGTTTCATGTTATGTCTTCGTCATCTCATTCATGAAAAATACCATACATTTTATTGCATACTAGTTGAAATAAAAAGAGAAGAAGTTAAAAAAATGTAATAAAAATAATATCTAAGGTTATGACATGTAGAGAAATCATTTTAATAAAGAAAACAATGCATTTTTTTTTCTTTTTGAAAGAATTAAGACCATGATGATATGCTACATTCATTTCCATATTTCCATGTTGTTAGGAAACCATAAAGTCCTAAACTTTTAGAGTAATTTTTTTTTTTGAAGTTGAAAGTATGACAACTTGATTTGAAGAGCTTGGGGAATATCAACAACAAGTTAAATATATATTACAATATCCATTAGAAAGTGCAAAGTCTTATCTGTATAAGGGACATTATTATACATTGACAAGAGTTGCTAAATCATTGAAAGTTGATGTAAATGAGTTATTAAAGGCCAAGTTGATGGTTTTCTAAGAGAGTCCATGAATAAATCATTGAAAGTTGATGTAAATGAGTAATTAAAGGCCAAGTTGATGGTTTTCTAAGAGAGTCAATGAAAAAATATGCACAATTTATAATAAAAATTAGAAAATTGGATGATTTGATGGATAAGCTTTCCCTTATCATTTATGAGATTTTTCTCTTCGTGAGTTTGGAAACCTTCATAGATTTTGCAACTATTAATGTTTTCATGACATACAAGCATAAAAGGGAGAATCCAATATAAAGTGTCCATGTAAAAGTATATCACAACCTTATCTTTGCCATGAGAAGAAATGTGAGACTATCTTATGTTGCTTACCTACATTATACAAATAGTTTACCACTCATATGTTTAAAGGAGAAGGTTTGAGTGGAGATTAAAAATAATAATGAATGGGCTCGTTGTATTTCTAATCTTAATGATAAAATAATATGTTGATTTTCTTTGCATGAAGAAAGAATTTGAGTGATATATTATTGTGAGAATTTCTATAATGTACCACTCATGGGGACCAAATGATGTATAAACTACAATTTGATTCTAGCTTCAAGGTAGTTTGACTATCTAATAAGGAATCTAGCGACTAAAGAATCAATGACTCATTTCATAACTTATAAACTGAATTAAAACGTGAAAATATCCACTAAAGTTATGAAGACTTGAAATTCAAGTTTTCAGGAAATGATAAGGGTTAAGAGTTGAGAATTGCATGATTGATAAAAATTACAAATAATAGGTTAAAGAAAGAGTCCAAAAGATTAAACTATCTTTCTGTAACACAATCCTGATTATTAAAAATACACTAACACCGCTTCCTCTAAACCTTGAAGAAATAAAAAAACTTAACATGTATTCTCGAGAATGTCATATGGGACAAGAAGAAAGTGTCTAAAAGATGCAACAAACAAAATATTGAATACATGAATGTAAAACTTCTTGAACAATTCAAACACAACTAAATAAAAATTTGATGAAACATAAAAGGCAGAAGACAACATAGGGACTACTTTAGAAAAATAGTTAATAAGATAAAATTATTGTGCTTATTCATTGAGAATACTCATTTTGAGAAAAATTTGTATTTCTTTATTCTTTATCTTTACAATAATAACTCTTCACAATTATTATATACAATTATTATATAGAGTCATATAATTTTAGTGAACAATATCTTTATATCCACCATTATTAAATCTAAACTCAGTTCAAGTACCATTAATAATTTAAAAGAATACTTATGAATTATAAAAGTTAAAGAAATTTGTTATATATAAAAAAACTTAAGTTAAAAGAAGATAATAAAAAGAATATTTCGATTTAATTTTAGTGCATATAGTCTTTATTTTGAGTAAACTATTATAAACATATTTGTATTTTTTTTTCTTATTATCTTTTATTGTGTTTTTTAACAAGTGAATTATGTTTAGAGTATTTAAGAAACAAGTAAACATAACTAAAAAAAATTACGAACGTTTGGAAAAAGATTAGTAATTCACAATCCACTTTTTAACATATATTCATCTAATAACTATAATTAATAATATAATAATATTTTTATTTTATTTTTATAAAGGCTTACTATGATTATTATAATATTAAATTGAGTGGTTGAATGAGAGTTTTTTTCACTTATTTATATATATATATATATATATATATATATATATATATATAGATATATATATATAGAGATATAGATATATATAGAGATATAGATAGATAAATATAGATATCAGCGTCCAAAAGTTTTTTCCTATCTTTCTCCTTTTACACTCGTATTTTCCTTCACCATTCAAGTTATATTAAAAGAGTCACGTACTCTTTTCCTAATTTTTAAATAGACATCTATGTCACTTAGGTATATTTTTAATACAAGATAATTATATTATTTATATTTTTAATAAGATAACACTTGTATCCCTTTATTTTATTTTAAAAAACATTTTTACATATAAAAATTAAATATTTTCTGTAAAAAAAATATTAAGTAATTTATTGATTATATATCAAAAATATCATAAAAATATATTATCATGAAATGCTAAATTGTTTTATAGAAATATAAAAAAATTATATTTTTGAGAAAATAATATATTTTATTATTTTGTAAAATTCATATCATAAATATATAAAAAAATCGTTTTAATTTTTTTATAAAAAATATTTAATTGATATTTTAGAACTTTAATATTTAATTTTCCTAAGTTTTATTTAAGTTTTTGTTGATAGGATAGTTTTGAATAGAAAATAGATGAATGTCATTCATGGAAAATACAAGAAAGATAAATATCTATTAACAAATTTAAAGGATAAGTGTTAATTTATTAAAAATATATAAAATTGGCTGTCTATTTTAAAATAAGAAATGGCATGTTGTTTAACGATAGTTTAGAAAAATAAATGTAATATTAAAATTTAAAAATAATTTTACAAGTGATCAAAATTTAATTTTTTAATGAAATATATTTTTGTCCTTATTAAATATTTATCAAAATAATTTGTATAATTTTTTTTGTAAATCAACCTTTGTATAATGTAAACATAAACTTTTTGGTCTAATTTTTTAATTTGGTTAAAAATTCGCTACCATGACAAACAAAATAATGACGTGGGCAAAATTTTGTTTTGATAAAATATATTTTTGTCCTTATAAAATGTATTATTTATTAAAATAACTTTTATAGTTTTTTTAATTAGTTATTTTCTATAAAATTTAAATATGATTTGTCAATCTATTTTTTAATGTTGTTAATACATTAATCATATCATAAAAAAATTGATTTGGATGGATAAAGAATTTTAAAATTCAATGTTGAGTCCACCTAATATGCAGTTGAAAATAATAATAATAATAAAAAACATTTAAAAATAAATAATTATGAAAAATTATTTCCCATAATAAAACTTGAAAATATTAAAAATAAAACAAAATATCACCATATTATAATATCTACATTAAAATTAATTAACAAACCTCACCACAAAAATTATAAATCCATATCTTGATAATTTTTTAATAGAAAACAGAATATAAATATAAATTAAAGAGTCATATTTTCATGATAAAATTATGAGAGGTTAAATTTGACATAACATTTTCTTGTTAATTTATATAAATATAAATATAAAAACAAATCATAATAAAATAATAAAATTATGAGAAGTTAAATCTAACCTAACCGTTAACTTTGATGTAAAAAGACACAGATAATACACTTTATATTCACCATCTTATTGTCATCTCCATTTTTTATATTTTATACAAATTAAAAAGTTAAAAAGAAAAATCATATTTATATTTTATGAGACGTAAATAATATAATAAGACATTTAAAAAAATCAATTTTCTCTTTCTTTTACTTTGATTTAATTAAACTCAAATATAGCATATTTTAAAATTATATTATGAAAACAACAAATTTAACTTATAATATAATAAGACATTAAAAAAACCAATTTTCTCTTTCTTTTACTTTGATTTAATTAAACTCAAATATAGCAGATTTTAAAATTATATCATGAAAACAACAAATTTAACTTATAGAATAAAAAGTAAAATAACATTTCACTAAAAATAATAAAATAAAGAGAGCTACACTAGTAAATAGACTAAAAAACACTAATAAATGACTAACGAAATAGATATGTAATAATAATAATAATAATAATAATAATAATAATAATAATAATAATAATAATAATAATAATAATAATAATAATAATAATAATAATAATAATATGAGAATAAAAAAAATTAGAAGAGAAGAAACGTGGGCAAGTGCAGGGAGTTGAATTTATTTTACGTTTAGCTGAGTGACGGTGGTACCTTGGTGGCAAAAGAGGGGAAGAAAGAAATCAACGCTTCCTCAATTCTCACTGAGTCAATCACTGATTGATCCGATCCAATTCGATGTCGGAAATGGCTCACACAGATCCCGAAGGCGTGGACGGAGTGCGCATGACGTGGAACCTGTGGCCGCGCAACAAGGTGGAGGCGAGCAAGTGCGTCATCCCCCTCGCCGCCACCATCGCCCTCCTCCGCCCCCATCCCGACATCCCCCCCACGCTCCCCTATGCGCCTCTTCGCTGTAAGACCTGCTCCTCCCTCCTCAACCCCTTCTCGCGCGTCGACTTCACAGCCAAGATCTGGATCTGCCCCTTCTGCTACAACCGCAACCACTTCCCTCCTCACTACGCCCAAATATCCGAAACCAGCCTCCCTGCCGAACTCTACCCCCAATACACCACTCTCCAATACCAACTCAACAACAACCCCAACCCTAATCCTAACCTCTCACATCCCCCTGTCTTCCTCTTCCTCCTCGACACCTGCGTCATTTCCGAAGAGCTCGACTTTCTCAAATCCGCTCTCCGCCAGGCCCTCGGACTTCTTCCCGACAACGCGCTCGTCGGGTTGGTGTCGTTCGGCACGCAGGTCCAGGTGCACGAGCTAGGCTTCTCCGACATGTCCAAGGTTTACGTGTTCCGCGGTAGCAAGGAGATTACCAAAGATCAAATTTTGGAACAGTTGGGTCTCGCCACCGTCAGGAGGGCCTATTCCAAGGGGGGGATGATGACGCAAGCTCAGCCGCCTTCTGCTGCTGTCACCAGGTTCTTGCTGCCTGCTTCTGATTGTGAATACACTCTCAATTCGGTGCGTTTCGTGAGAATGCTTGCAAATTGCAATGTGTCAATGTAGTAATGATAATAATAGTAATAGTAGCTTGCGACTCTCAGTTTTGATTGTTGTTGACTAATGGGTTAACTCTTCAGGTGCTGGATGAATTGCAAAATGACCAGTGGCCGGTTTTACCGGGGAAGCGTCCTGCACGGTGTACCGGCGTGGCATTGAGCGTTGCCGCGGGGTTGCTTGGTGCTTGTAATCCTGGGACTGGGGCTAGGATAATTGCTTTGGTTGGGGGTCCTTGCACTGAAGGACCTGGTTCGGTAATTGAGTTTATGTTCTTCGCAATACTGATTTGGTCGTTGCTGATTGTAGATTTTATTACAAATGGGGGTTAGGACTTTATGTTTTGGGGAAAGATTAGGAGGGATTTTCATCAAAATTTACTGCGGGGTAATATGACACTGCATAGAATATTTTTGATGATGTAGATATTGATTTTAATCTTTCTTCGCAGATTGTGTCAAATGATCTATCCGATCCCGTGCGTTCTCATAAAGATCTTGATAAGGATGCGGCACCATACTTCAAGAAAGCAGTCAAGTTTTATGAGGGTCTCGCGAGACAGCTTGTTAGCCAGGGTCATGTTTTAGATCTTTTTGCATCAGCCCTTGATCAGGTATGTGCTAGCTTGCAAGTTTTTTGTTACATATATTTCACTGCCTATGTTTCTTATATGTTGTTTGTCATGTTAATAATGCCCTTAGAGGGCTACCTTTAATATAACTATGATTGTTATTTTCTCTCACCTGCTTGAAATTATAAGCTCAAGCTATTACTATCTTAATTCTTACCTGGGAATTTTCTTGCGGATATATAATGAAGTTGTTATTTATGTTGTGAGGATCTCTTGATATCAGACTATGTTGCAACTGTGACAATAATGAACAAAGTGTGGTATGCGCATTTTCATCTACTGTTGTTTGGTAGACATTAATGTTTTGAAATTTGAATCTTTAGGTTGGAGTAGCAGAAATAAAAGTTGCAGTTGAAAAAACTGGTGGCCTTGTTGTCCTGTCTGAAAGTTTTGGTCATTCAGTCTTCAAGGACTCTTTTAAGCGTGTTTTTGAGGACGGGGAGCAATCTCTTGGTCTTTGTTTCAAGTGGGTCTTCATTTCAATTTTTTGTTTAATTCATTTAATTCTAAATTCAATTCACCCCAAGGAAATTATATATTTTGGCTTGTTGATATTCTCATTTACATTAATTTTATCACTTATTATTCCCCTGTCCCACCATTTCAGTATGACTCACAGTTGATGTTTGGAATTTTCTATTGGGAGATGTTGAATTGCTATGCTTTGAGTTCTTTATTCTTTAGCATAAAATCTGTATCTACAGAGCGTTTTAGTGCCTACTGGTCATGGGGATATTTATTGTTTCATTAGAAGCTTGTAACACTGTACCAACATGTGTTGGTCCTAGTGGAACGTGTTCAGATCACTTAATTAGGTGGTTTAGTTTGATCTCCGTATTCATGTGCGAGGAAAAATACTTTTGAAAGGGTCCATGCTTTAGTGTTTGTTCAGAATTGTTAATCAAGACTTTGATGTAAATATTAGACAAGACTAAATATTTATTCAGGGAAGGTTAGGTGGCCCTGTTTTAGAAATTATATAACAAGTTGACTCCTTTACTTGCCCACCACCTCCTCTTCCCTTTCATGAGTCTTTATTTCAAAGACATCTACAGAAAAATTCATTGTTCTCTCCATAATACTGCTCATACTTTTAAAATGTTTCTAGGTTCCTTCTTAGCTTCCCATAGAATCTCTATTGAGTAAGTGATGTAAAATAAAGTAAATTGCAGAATTTTAAGAAGATAAGTTGCGGAGTTTAAGCAATAAAGTAAGCAAGCCCAAGGAAAATTCTCACTGAACACTAAGATAGTTGCCTATCTAGGTATGAAGGTGCATTTCTAGGGATTGCGGAGGGAGGACGAGATCGAAAGAAGCTAGAAAAGAATAAAGACCAAGACTAGAAAGATAGACTAGCTCCTTGGATACATAAATGGTGGAAGAAAAAAAAAGAAAGAAAGATGAAGAGAAAAGAAGTATGGTGGTGGTGGAGTGTTGGCACGCCATTTGGGGATGAGCCACCCTAGATAAGTGGTGGTTGCCGCCACTTGAACCAAGGTTCAAGGTAAGACACTCAAAGAGAAGGGATATTCTAAGAATCCTCACACACTTCTCATAAATGTTCAACCTAATTACATGAGGGGAAGTCTTCTATTTATAGGCTTTTGGGGAAGGGACCTAGATGAAATTACAAAAGGAGACATAAACTTAACCTAAACCTAAGGGCTAAGAGTCCCCATGATCCAAATATGTTAAATTCGTCCTAGCCCACTAAAAATGTCTCTATGGGTGTGGAGAACATGAAAAAAAGGTGGGCTTCCTTTTGGGTTGTCCCTAGCCTACCAATCTCGCATCCCAAGGTTCTTCCTCTCAAAAAAGGGGTGTAGGACATGAAAAAGGAGTGTCCTACACCTTTGGGCAGCCCATGCAACCATTTTATATATCCAAGCCTTCTTTTCCACCAAAAATAGGTGGTGGTCTTCAAAAAGGAGGTGCATAAAGTGGTCCTACAAAAAAAAGTGCGAAAATAAATCTCTAATTTTAAGAAATAAAAATGCTAAGAAAATTCAAAGTGAAGGGTGAGGAGGAAGTCTCCCTTCTAGTCATGCTCTTCGTAATTCTCCTAGGAATGACTTCTCCCTCCTTCCAGGCAACTAGGAACTCATCAGTAAGAGATACCAAACACTTACGATACTATTAGGCTCCCAGGCAAGGACCCTTTCAAAAGTATTTTTCCACATAAAGTCTTTCCAAACTAAATTAATCAATTAATTTGATGTAAAATTTGGGTTTGAAAAGAGTTTGGGTTTTCTAGTTTGAATGTCAATCATTTGCCTTGAGTTTTAAATCTTCCTTATCATATATTTTAAGAGTCTTTTGGTTTCGTGTGAGGAACCAAAAATTTAAAAGAAAAGGGAAGGAAATATTTTTATCGAATAGAATGAAAAGAACAAGAAATAGGAGATTATGCTCTTCTCCAAGAGTTTCCCCTTCACAAAGAGCCAATACTCAATTTACAATCACAAAATACCCCCCCTTTATCTCCTATCATTCTTCCCTGTTTATCATATCTAACTGCCTGTCTAACTAACTAACCTGTTAATATTGTAAATATCTTAACTAAGTTCTTCTTCTTATACCCTAACATTTTGTGAATCATTGTCTTGATGTTTCAGTTTTTATCATATTAGTGATAAAAACATTTTCAAATTGGTTATTTTACATTTTCATTTATTTTTCAAACCGCTTTCTCTCTAACAAACATGCTCACTGCCTTCTTAATTTATTTAACAGCGGAACACTTGAGATTAATTGCTCCAAGGAAATCAAAATTCAGGGTATAATTGGACCTTGCACATCATTGGAAAAGGTTGGATTTGGATCATGTTTATGTTTCAAACCTTAATCTCCTGTAGTGTAGTGACACTGAAATTGGAATTTATGTGGGGTCTTAAAAGATAAAACTGAACAAAACCTAATATATTTGGATTTTGATGGTTACAATCAATCACATACTGCAGAAAGGGCCTTCTGTTGCTGATACTGTCATAGGAGAGGGAAACACAACAGCTTGGAAACTGTGTGGCCTTGACAAGAGTACATGCTTGACCGTGTTGTTTGATCTTTCATCAAGTGACCGTTCAAACACTCCAGCTGCTGCCAACCCACAGTTGTACCTGCAGTTCCTTACAAGGTTATGTTTGAGAACCCTTGTGAATAGGAGCTCATTTTGACTACCTCGTGCCTTTCTTCCCTTATTTGCTGATCATTGAATATATTGGTCATGCTCTTATTGCAGTTACCAGAGTCCAAACGGTCAATCAGTGCTTCGGGTCACCACAGTAACTAGAAGATGGGTGGATGTTGATGTTACCTCTGAGGTACTCTCAATTTTTGGCATTATATCTGTGGCTGGATGTTTGGTTATCTGTGAATATCAAAAATATAGTTGTAGCTTAACTTCTACATTTATCATAATATTTAGAAGGATCTATGAAATTCGCTTGGTTGTATCTCCTTGCTGGCATTTCTATTCTAAACATTGGCATAGGTATCTGAATGCTCTAGATGTGCATCTGCAGACTGCAGTATAAACTGAATTCTTATGGCTATGATAGCTAAATCCTTACACTATGTGGAGTTTATGACCATTTTTTCCTGACAATGTGATTTTTTAATTGGTTCATGACTAATTTTTAATACCCTTTTAATAGAAACTGACCTGTTTCAGCTATTGCATGTTGTATGTATTGGATAACAAGTCATGCATAGCAAAATTGGCTGGGAGATAACCATAGCAGCCTAGGGCATATTGCTGCATTATCTCTGAATTTCTGCCACTGAAATCATAGGGTTAAGACAATTTGTAGCAACTCTTGCTCACTTCCTCTCCATAGAACGGAACAGAAATGAAAATACAATATATACTGGCAATTTGAGAGTCCTGTTTCTCTCCCACCATTGCTTTCCTTGTTTGCAACCTGTGCAGTGCTCACTTCCTCTACATAGAATGGAACAGAAATGAAAATACAATATATACTGGCAATTTGAGAGTCCTTTTTCTCTCCCACCATTACTTTTATTTTTTGGGTTTAATAATGAAAGTAATTTCATTCAAGAAAAATGAATACAAGTTACCCATTGATGAACAGATAATACATGCACAGGATTCAAGTAAAAAGTACGTTAGTCTGTGGGCTTTGGTAGGTATCCCGTTAGCAGAGGAGTTTGTGCTTTATCCTATTTTAGAGCCCGCTACACACAAGGAAGGATAAGCCAAAAATTGATGACTAAAGTAGTATATTTGAAGAAAATAGTTGTTTTAGGGTTATGCTTTTCCACATTGTTGGCATGCAGCTGTTTCCCTGGCTCCATTGTTAATGCATTTTCATTATTTAAGAACAATGCATTTTCTCAAAAAGATAATATATTTTTTCTTCAGGAATTGGTCCAAGGATTTGACCAAGAAACTGCTGCTGTAGTAATGGCCAGACTTGCGTCTCTAAAAATGGAGACAGAGGTACATCACAAGTTGTTATTTTTTGTTATTCTCCACTATTTCATTCTGGATTTATTTGCTCTAGTGCGTATAAAATTTTTTCTTTGTTCAAATTGGTGATTGTTGGAAGTTTCATGAAAACATATGTTGGGTTGATGTCTTTGATAAACTTTTTACTTGTTTAATCTGGTTAGACTAAGTACTTATATAGTGTCAATGCATTTGACTTGCTCTGGTATTTCTTAATTATATTTTTCTACTGTTGCAAATACATGATCAATTTATGATAAGTTCTATTTTGTTCAGAATGGAGCTTTGGGTGTCATAGGAATGTAAAATGGGATGAAGGATTTATCTTTTACCTTATACTCATGTGACCAAGAACTGATCGATTGGCAATTAATATTTTTTTGTTATGTCATCTAGGATTTAGTTTTAATTTCTTTATTTGGACTTAATAATAGTTTAGTTAAATGACCTTATGATTTAACTTTGAACTTATTTCCCATCTTATTAGGTATGCCCACAGTTTTTCCCTTTGCTCGAAGGCTGCTTATTTCAATTTGATATTTTATGCTAATAAATAGCATGCTGTAAATTACTGTTGTCATTATGGAAAATTTTATTTTTACGTGAACTTTCAGACTTAGATAGTGTCATGTGTTAAATCAGGAAGCATTTGATGCCACACGATGGTTGGACCGTTTACTCATTCGCCTGTGCTCTAAATTTGGTGACTACCGCAAGGATGATCCATCATCCTTTACATTAAATCCATCATTTTCTTTATTCCCCCAATTTATGTTCAATCTACGAAGATCACAGTTTGTACAGGTGCCATGTCTTGTAATTTTCTTTGTTTATTACTATTTCTTTTCAAACTTATTTTAAATTTGTGGTGTTTGGATGGTTAAATTTTTTGGCAGGTTTTTAATAACAGTCCAGATGAGACTGCATACTTCCGCATGTTATTAAATAGGGAAAATATAAGTAATGCAGCCGTCATGATTCAGCCATCTCTAATATCATATTCATTTAATTCATTGCCTGCACCAGCATTGTTAGATGTGGCTTCCATTTCAGCGGACCGGATTTTGTTGCTTGATTCATATTTTAGTGTGGTTATTTTCCATGGAATGACAATAGCTCAATGGCGCAACATGGGATACCATAACCAGCCAGAACACCAGGCATGTACACATTTATCATACATATCCTACTAAACAAGTTATCATCACATGTGAATTCTGCTCTCAAAATGATTGATGCTTAATCATTTAAATTGTTTAATTCAATATATATAGTCTTCTTTTGGGAGCATCATAGCTTTGTGCTAATTTATGTTGGAAATAATTTTGTTTGGAGCATTGTAGCCATGTGTTGTCTTTCTCATTGGTCCATGTTCTGGCTTTGCTAATAGCTTTAATACATGGCACAGGCTTTTGCACAACTATTACAAGCTCCCCAGGATGATGCCCAAATCATAATTAGAGAACGTTTCCCTGTTCCTAGATTGGTAGTGTGTGATCAACATGGTTCCCAAGTAAGTACATGTAGTTTTCCTGAAATTTGTTTAGTGCTGACTGTTGCCCACTTGCACGATATATTAGGAGAAACTTCGTTTCATAATCCATTTTTCTGGTAGGTTTAGATTTTTCTTGATGGAGAACCTTAGTGGGTTTCATTGATGTTGAACAGGCTAGATTTTTATTAGCAAAGCTGAATCCGTCAGCAACATACAATAATGCGCATGAGATGGCTGCTGGTTCAGATGTAATCTTCACTGATGACGTGAGCCTTCAAGTTTTCTTCGACCATCTGCAGAGGCTGGCTGTCCAATCCTGATAATAGTAGTGACTACAGTTATGGATTTGGACTTTGGTTCGGACAGTGCGCCATAATGTTTTGCTGTTTCATTCAGTTATTTTCTTTGTTCTTAAAGGAGAGCATGTCGTGGCCTATATCAATTGAGGAATAAAGAAAGTTGTGAAATGTTATTCATTCGGGCTATGGTGGATTTTGTTCATGGAGAAATAAAGGCCTCGATGGTATTTTGAATTTGGGAGTTGTGGAAAGGAGGATGATGAAATGTAAGTTAAAGAGCTACCTGTGTGACAGCAGCAAACTATATGTGGGAGAGAGATAGTTTGATAGTTAGTTGGTTTACTTGTCCTTAGGTTGCAGAGTAATTACAGTCATTTTGGATTTTGATACAATTATAATCTTTGCAATTCTGTACATGAAGTTAGGAGGATTACATGACGCATCCTGGTGAGTTGAATCCTTCTTTAATAGTTTCCCTTTTTTTTTCTTTCAATATTCTTGAGCCGACCTCAAAATGTGACACTAATTTTTATTAAGTCGTATTACCTACTAAGAATAAATATTTAGAGATATTTTTGTAGCTAATTGATATTCACTCATAAAATGGGTTTTGAATTTAGAGTCTATTAAATTAAGTTTTTGGATTAAAATCAAAGTATAGAAATATAATTTTTCTCTATGGGTTGTTTTCATACGAAAGAAAACAAGAACAAAGAGAAATTCATAGATCAAATCTAATGAACATAAATTTTCATGAAATTCATTTTATTGGATCCAAGACTCATGACTATATGCTTGTCAGATAACTAAAGAAATAAAAATAAAAATTAGAAGATGGTAAGTGTCGGTTAAAGAATTAAGGGCAAATGAAAATTGTTCCTTTAAGAGATTTAAGGTAAAATTTAAATAGATATATTCTTTAGAGAGAAACACTCTAAACCAAATATCTTAATAACTATTTTCTTAAAGATTATTTTGAATTCATTTCTTCAATTTGTGATTTTAGAAAGATCTCTAATCAGGAAGAAATTTCATAAAAAGTAGTTTTTAACTTCTAAAAAAAATTAGAAATAATGATTTTTTTTCAATATATAAGATAAAATTTTCTGTTTAAGAAGACAAATAGTTTTAATATTTTTTTCAAGTCATTTTTTAGTAACCATCTCTTGAAAATAATTTTGTTCTTCTTAGAGTATTTTTATTTTTTTTACTTTAGATCTTGTAGTGATTTTTTCCTTGGCTGATTTTCTTTTCATTGATATCCTCAAATTCGTTAAACAAATTGGTTTGTGAATGTTTCTCTTACATTAAAAGTAAAATCATTTTAAATAAAGTCATTTATGTGGAAGTTTGATTAGAACTTAAAAAAAAAAGTTGATCATATTAGAGATTTGAAAACAAAAGAGAGACATGAGAAAAGGAATAAAGGAGATTGGAGAATATTGAACTAAAAATATCATTTGTAAGAATGAGATTCTTATAATATTTTAACTTATTATAGAATAAAGTGGTTAAGTATAAAGTGGTTAAGTATCATAGACTTAAGTATTTAAAAGTTAAAATAAGTTTAATCACCTAACATTTTAGGAAGAAAAACATGGTTTCCATGCTTCTCGCTTAAAATGCAAATGAGTAATATGTAAAGAGAAATTGAAATGTGCAAGAAAATTACATGAATTACAAGGTGAAAAACATGATAAAAGAGAAAGAAAAGCAAAGTCTCCTTATTCTTATGGAGATGTGAAAGATATTCATAGCAGTGGTGAATCTTCTTTAGAATTAAGAGAGACATCACTTCCCTAAAGTTTTGTAACTTCCATATATATTTATGATTTTAACCCAAAACTTAATAATTATTTAATATATTTGTTTATATATTTATAATATTGTTCTTTCACCCTTTCATATTTATTTATCATTTATTAATAATATATTATTAGACCCCCGAAATCAAAAGTTAAGATTCGCCACACTGATCATGAGTATGATGAGAGAGAATATCGATTCTAAGGACTAAGAGTAACAAGAAAAAGATTGTTACATAAAGAGAAATTCCTTATATATAATTTAAAAATTCTTAAGTTTAATAAAGATTCTAATCCAAAAATATATATTGAAAGGGAAAGCGAAATAAGTGTTTCAGGCTAATGGAATTACAAAAATTTACAAAGTTAAATTTACAAATTTACATGGCCTATGCTTAAAACTTGTTCAAGAGAAAGGTTTGTTTCTTCATACATACTACAAAAAGGATTTGATTTTTAAACTCTAATGACTAAGTAAGATAAATATCACATAAAGAGTAAAGGTTTCACTTATCAAGTGAATTGGAAGAAAGCATGGAGACTACCATGAAAAGGTTCTTACAGAGTTTAAATCTTGATATTCAAACCAATAGAATTTTAAAAAGATAAAACTTTAAAAACACTTCCTCATCAAGCTAACAAAATTGAATTACAAATCAAGAGAAACACTAAGTTCAATTTATAGCCCATATAAAGAAAAATCAAGACATTATTTATCTTCTTTCAAGGAACAAAGTAAGTATTGTTCTTTTAAACATTTGAGTATTTATACACCATTTTTATCTACGTCAATTCCCAAAATCCAAGAAAAATCAAGTAGCATGAAATGTTTTAAAAGCTTGGATTATGGACATATTACTTGAAGTTGTCTAACCAAAATGACAATGTAGACAAAAAGAAAATGGTGTTAGTGAATATGAACTGAATCCAATTGAAAAATATTTATGATGATTATACTTGGGCATGTTTTAAATATTTTCAAGATTCTTTTTCAAGAAAAGATATTTTTTGGTGATTGGGCCTAATCATGAATAAAACTTGTACACTCATCGTTAATAGAAGAAGTGGTACCAATCTTGCAAGTAAAAGGATGGTTCAAAAGCTAAATCTACAAACTATCCCTCATCAAGATCTTACAAATTTCAATGGTTAAGTGAAAAATTGGTTCCCTACGAACAAACAAGTGTCAATATCCTTTTTCATAACTATTTGGATAAATTTTTATAAGATGTTCTGCCTATGGAAGCTAGTCGATTTTTATTAGGAAGACAATGACTATATGATAAACATGTCACACATTATGGTGTTGTTTATAAATATATATGAAATTGAAAAGGAACAAGTAAATAAAGGGTGGAACAAAGAAAATATATATTTTTTTTTTTATAAAAACAAGTTCCACATTATCCAATAAAGTTTTAATGGTAAGACAAATTATAGAGTTACAAATTTCTAACATTTTATATTTTTCTTCCATTATTGTTTCTTTTCCTTTAGATTTGAAGAGTTATTCAAACTGTTTGAATGAAGATTATATCACAAAAACAAGAGGGAATAAAAATATCTCACAAATTTCTTGAAGAATTGAAGGAACTTCAAAAACACATAATTTTTCAAACAAAAGAGAAGAATTATTTGTCACTTATTCAAAAACATTATTTTTCATACTCAATAAAATATGTGACTTAATAATTTTTAAATCAAGTGAAATTAACTTTCATAACATCAAAACTTTGGCCATAATCTTAGGCATGTTTCAAAATAAAGATTTTGATTTTGATGACGTTATTCAAGATAAATGCATCATAAATAATCAGTTGGTTATTATCTGATATGATTTTGGTGCTATTCATACTTTCATATCACATAATTATGTGAATTTTCTAAAATTACCTATCACTTTATTTTACCATATGATTTGAGTCTATCTACTTCTATCAATGTTTATGTCATGATATCACTTATATGTAAAAGTTATTGTATTTTTGTAAATAATAAAGTTTCTTATAAATCTTATATGTTTACCTTTATCCCCCATTTACACATTGTTCTAGGAATCAACATGTTATCTTTCAACCATATTGTCCTAAATTGTAATGATAAGAACTTGATAAGCATTTTGAATAAGGAGATTAAGAGATATTACCACATACCACCATGAGGTTTTGGAAGGAATCCAAGTCACATGATCTTGGCTTATTTGAAGGTCAATGATTCAAATATTAGTATGTTTTTCTTAGATTACCTCTAAAGATAGATATAAAATTTACTATAAACTTGGTACCAACAAGCAAGGGTGTCAAAATAGATTTAACCCGATGGACTAACTTGAAAGACCCGATAAATAGACTAAGCTAAAAAAAAAAGGTTTAAATTGAATCTAACTTATTTTAGCCCGAACTCGTTTTACAAAATAATTATTATTTTAATAAAATAAAAGTGATATTATTTTTTAAATAAAATAAAAGTGATATTATTTTTTAAAATATATATGTATTATAACTAATTTGAAAGGAGATTAACTTATTTTAAGAGTAAATATCAAAGCATGTCTTTAAAAACCACTTATCCAAAATCTAATGGTTAAGATTTAGATAAATAAATTACTAAAAAAATGAAGGATGATAATGAAAAATAAGTTTTTAACTATTATTTTGGATTGAATGAATCTATTTTTTTTATAATTTATATATTAGATTATTATATTTGAAATAAAGATTAATTTCATTAATAAATTTTAAAAATGTATTTTTATTTTTAATTTTTATTTATTTATTTATTTTGATATAGACATATTAATAATTTTTTTTATATTTTTCAATCAAACCAAAATTGGTTCGTTAA